GCAGCCTTTTCAGGTCTGCATCGTCAGAATAATGATTTTTTATTTAAAATTGTCGAGCTACCTTCGAAAGACTTATATTGAGCTTCTTCCAATGAAATAACCAAACGCTCAATATAAGTCTTTCGAAGGTAGCTCGACAATTTTAAATAAAAAATCATTATTCTGACGATGCAGACCTGAAAAAGCTGCGAAACGTCAATAAATAAATAAAGTTTCGTGCATTAATCCGTAAAAACTAGTTTTATTTAATGTGTGATGTGCGTGAAAACCTAAGAAACAAATATAATTATGTCTCTTTCCAGCTTATAAGTCTGCAAATTTTCATCTAAATCTCTTAAGCCCTTTTTGTGTGATTGAGTATCGAACAGGCATACATAGAAACTTTCACAGTTATAATATTAATAGGATCCGAAAGTGAGTTTGTTTGTTACTCAATCATGCAAAAACGGCTGAACGGATTTTGGTGAAATTTGGCACACATCATTTATTACGTGTACGTACTCAGTTGACCCGCAACTCGAACGGGGAAGATGACTAATTTTTTTTTTTCGTTTATCAGGTAGATTATCAAAAAGTATTGGACACGTATTTTTTTCTTTTTTCACATAATATAAACATTGCAGAGATATATCGATTTGAAAAGTCGCATGACGTCACGTTTGAGTACACTTATAAGGGAAAAATTCACTCAAAAGTGACGTCACGAGCCCCTACTCCCATACTTTGACGCGCTATAACTTTGTCATCTTTTGGTTGATAGCCCAAAGAAAAAATACGTGTACATTATTTTTTGATCATCTAACTGTCGGACTAAATAGAATTTCGTTTACTGTACCCCGTCATCACCCCTAAATGCGATATTCCCGGCGTCGCTTTTGCATTTAAAGTTCTGGTACTCGTTTAGTCTGTGCGCCCTCCGCGTGTGCCAACTGGAGCAATCCTGGTAATGGCGGCCAGATTAGTGCCGCCTCCGTTAGAGGCTCACTCTGCCGCGGAGGCTTCACTGCCAGGTACATGCCCTGAATTGTACGGATTAACCGAAATCGAAGACCCACTATCTTGATAAAGGTGCACATTAAGGTGCTGTCCCACGGTGTGTGTTGTCGCGGGCGACGCCGTGCCGCGCAGCGTTGCCAAACGTATTATAGAGATTTCACAGTCTTTTTTTTTTAAGCATTTAACTGCTAGATGTTTAAATCTAAAGAAAAGTTTTACTAGAAGAAAATCCACGCGTACCAGGCAGCGGACGGGACTCGAAACCGCACCCTTCGCAATCCGGGCGAATGCACTGACCTGATTGTGGGTTACATACAATGCGAAGAGATGGCGCTGCCTTGCAGCTTAAGGCTAGGATAATTTCGACGCGGCCATCAGGGCCGTGGTAGCATAATTGGTCAGTGCATTCGCCCAGATTGCGAAGGGTGCGGGTTCGAGTCCCGTCCGCTGCCTGGTCCGCGTGGATTTTTTTTCTAGTCTCTATACATGATACAAAGTGATGATACGATGATACGAATAAGGATGCATTTAGTGATGGCATAATGACTTTGTACTTACCGAGATGATCATTTATGAACTGAACATTTATTTAGTTTCTGATAATATTTTTGGTTTGTGTACATGACACCAACAGTCAACGTTGTTCAAATCACATATAAAAGTGTACGAGATTTCTATTTACCTCGTATCATGTATAGATACTGATAAATCTTTAACGTTAGAGTTCTCGTACGTTTGGCGAAACTGCGCGGCGCGGCCTCGCCCGCGACAACACACATCGTGGGACAGCGCAATAATATAAGTGTGTTGAGTACTAAATCACCAGCAACCTAGGCCTTCCCTATGGATGGAATAGGGAGACTAGGCCGTGACCCTGGACCCGGACAGTGCGGATTGGTGGGTTCTGCAGAACCAACGGCTTAGCGTGCCTTCCTAAGCACATAGAAGCTAAATATTATAAGTTTCTAGCGTAATTGCTTAACTTTTACGAACGCCGAAGGCGCTAACTATCTGCGCCATCGAGCTCCTTAAATCGGAATATTAGTAAAGTTTCGTCTGGAAAACTTGCAGAACATTATCATCTTCTCCGCCTACTTCTGGCACATAGACTTTTACAAAATAGAGATATCATATAGATACACAAATTATTCTGTGGGGTCAACGCTATGTTTCGTAACGGGAGCTGTGAATCGGACGAGATATGTATATGCTGTCTTTAAAGCAGATTTACATTACTAATATAATCCATATACACGCACACTCACACTCACACTCACACACACACACACACACACACACGCACATACATATACTTCTAATAAAATATTAGCAATTTAAACTGTTCGGATTGTGAGGCTTGTATAATCTTAATCTTACTTACTAGCGCATCACACTCACACACATGCACACAAACGAACACGCACACACACACGCATACAGACACACACGCAACTGCTTATATAAAGTATAAATATAATAATTTAATATTTTATAATGTTTTAAAAATGTAATGAAATAAAATTAAGACATTCATCATCATCATCAGCCTATTAATGTCCCCACTGCTGGGGCACAGGCCTTCCCTATGGATGGAATAGAGAGATTGGGCCATGACCCACCACGACCTTAAGACCTTACCATAAGACATATTAATTGATTCTGGTACAGGTGTTAAACACTTAATAGAAGGAACCCACCCTGGTTTGGTGTACATCAAATGTGGTATCGTAATAAACCATTTTTGATTTTCTCTTGATCACTTTAGACTTTTTTTTCACTAACACTTAACACTTTTTGATCACTTTAGTTAGCATTTTGTTTATATCAATAATGTTATATTAACTAAAAAATGGGTGCGTGTACTTATGTAGGCGCGTGAGAAGTTATCCTTCTTTGGCATCGTTTAAAATTAGTTTTTAATTGCATGCAAATAATTAATTACAATAAATTAATAAAAAGTCTGGAAAAGGACACAGTCAATAAAGTTCAGTTTTAATTTGAAAAAATAAATAAATAATCAAAATATTCAATTAAAATCGCTACTGAATATAATTTATTAGAACATATTTTATGTGATTTGCACTTGTATGAAACTCAAACACGTATTCCGAATATACAAACTAGAAACATGTAGATAAATATTATAAATATGAATACCTATAATAACTGTTACTTTATTACAAAAAATAAAGATGTGGTTGTTGGTTCTACTACACCAATCGTCAAGAGACGGCGCTGTAGTCTCCTGAATCGCGCTTTGGTTCCGTTGTTCCAGATTAATAAATACTTTTGATATTATAAATATGAATACCTATAACTGTTACTTTATTACAAAAAATAAAGATGTGGTTTTTGGTTTTACTACACCAATGGTCAAGAGATGGCGCTGTAGTCTCCTGAATCGCGCTTTGGTTCCGTTGTTCCAGATTAATAAATACTTTTGATAGGCCTTCACAATGCAGTCGTTAGCACCCACAAAATAGATTCTATTTCTATTTTGTTGGTAGATTTTCTTAATGTGCGGTAAACACAAAAGTAATGCATGAAGTTGGTCGCTAAAGCGAAAAACGAAAATTGCGATTATTGTATAAATAACATTATCTAGATACTTACCTGCAGTAAAGAGAGAAGTGGATCTCCGAATAAAGATTTTATTTACAACTTACTAGGAGGACTCATCGACTGATTGTACTACTATGTCATTTAAAGAAATAAACAAATTTTCATTTTCTTCTCATTTCATTACACTCACTTACGGCAGGAATCTAATTAACAACACGGATCTAAATAGATAGCACAAGTGTATGTAATTCGCGAACCAAAAGGCTAAAATAGAAATAGCTTTTATTGCTTAAAAACTGTGTACGTGTGTGTTTGCTATTATTCATACTTTTACCGTAATTTATATCTTCGTGTTGCCGTTCTCGATCTCGGACATCAATCGTAATGTATATAACATATCTTACTCTGTAACGTTAAGCTGTAAAAACGATATAATTGAAATATGTGATCGGGACCCATGCATTTTTACCACTTATATGTTCTCCTGAGAACTTAAATATGACATTAAAGCTATTAACGGGATAGATACCTTGTTTTTTATGAGTCTCCGATATTCGGAACTGTTGCAAGCGCCATGATATGTCTGCCAATAACATCTACCCGCAATTACTTCAGTTACTCCGTGATCATGGCGCTTGCAACAGTGCCGAAATATCGGAGACTCATAAAAAACAAGGTACATGGTAACAATCCCGTTAATAGCTATAATGTTAGTGACCATGAAAGTTTAAAACAATAAAATATGACATGCTCTTTACTTCAATCTAGATCTAGAGAATCCAACTCTACATACCTAATTACTTTATTTTTCCCAGCTTTTGAAGGTTTTTCAGTAAATAATTAACCCCTTAAACTTACCATTTTGCATACTCATCTATTTGTGAATACGTCCGCATCACAAACAAATTTCATTTTTGGCGACTTACATATTGGTTAAACCAATATAAACATATTGCGATGGTCCCGAGCGGCTATATCTTATCTCGCTCAGAATTTGGAGTAGAATCGTAATTGAACGTGTCCTATATGGACTAGCGTAACTCTCGCGCCCGGCGCGAAGTATCGTATTTCAGCAGGCCGTGTTTATTTTAACGCATCTCCGTGCGCGCGTCAGATCCATTGTATCTCTCGCAGCTTTAGGACGGAGTATCGTAACTCACCGACTGGAAAACGCTCCGTCGTATCTCAGATATGCGAAAACGTTTTATCGTATCGACCAAGTGCATGTTCTCAGTAATCGCGATTTGAAAGTTTCACGTTCTGAAAAATAAAATTTCGCACGCAATCGATTTTATTATATTTATTCAACTAAAGAAATTATACATTTAGTACTCCCAGAAATTGTTGACATGTAACGAAAAAATGCGTTTCTCAGAGGGGACTATTTTTGGCACAATAAAGCGATTTCAAACCGATCAATTTTGCTGTGTCGATCGACACTTTTAGAATTCCGAGGAATTTTTTACGCGTAATGCATTGTAAAATGCATGTTTCTCAGAGGGAATAAGATTTCTGGCGCAAAGCGCTTTCAAATCGGCCAATTTCGCTTTGTCGATCGGTAGCAAACCGCGGTACGCTTTTTTAAGAGTGTACGAACTCAAATTGATGGAACGTCCTCCTGTACCCGATGTTACATCTAATCGTTTCGATTCTTCGCTGAAATGATGCTTGAACTCAACGACAGGATCAAGATTTGAATTTACGTACAATTCCCGGATTTTGGACAATCCTACTTTATTTCCATCCATATCTTTTTCCCATTGCAAATGTTTCGCGAATTCTTTAAAATTATAAATGTTTTCTTGAATAACTTCAGTTACATCGTACTGTTTTGAACCCGCTTTCTTTGCTGTTTTCACAATGGAAATCCAATCTTCAGGGCTATGGATGGTCACATTTTTACTCCTTTTTTCGATCAAGGCGTGCATTGAGTCCCCTTCGTTTTGAGTGTGTCCAGTCTCCAGGAATCTGTATGTGATTTCGATGTTGTGACGCACGGCTGCAAGATACATCATGGAAAAAACAAATTGGTTCTTGTTTTGACCAGCGCAGTTGTCTGAGTAGAAGAAAAATTTCTTCACTGCTGTCTCAACTTTTTTCTCAATGAAATCGAGAAGAAAACTGGCGATTTCATTACTGCCTTTGGAACCAATCGTTTCATTCCACATGTAGCAGAAACCGTCGTGTCTTGTGCAATCGTACACAGTAAAATTGTACACTGAAAGATGTCGCTTGTAATAAAATGCAGAAGATTCTGCACGCGGAGATGGCAAAACTTTTTGCATGTCAAAGCATGCAACACACGATGAAGAGTCTTTGTTGCAAGTCTTTTTATTTTCGTTCTTCATTTTTTGGGCGAGATTTTTTAACCCTATGTGCGTATCGTAAGATGCTTGCAATTCGAGCCTTTCATCGGGTGTTGCATGTTTCCAAGCGTAGCACACATCGCACTGATCCTTCTTCGGTTTGAAGAAGTGCAAATTAAACTCTCTATCAAAAATGTCTTTATACTGCCGGTAAGTAGCAAAAGTGAACTTATGTTCCCCAGCGGGTCGATTTTTTTTCATCCAGGCTTCGTAAAATGTATACATTTTAGGAAGGGATAGATTCTCATCCAAATAATCACGATTGCTATCTTTCCGACAATAGTGCGAAGGAACTTTTGGGAACAGTTGTATGTGTTCTTTGACATTTGCTACCAAGTCTGAGTTCAAGGTTCTGCGCCCACAGTTCTTGCCACGATTATCACTTTCGAGTGCGCTTCCCATCCCTTGTTTGAGTAAAGCCGTTTTGACCCATTGCTCATTAATGTCAAGCGTGTCCAAAAACATGACTTTGCACACTTTGACCACGCGACCATTACTGCGAAAACTGTACGATCGCGATTCGTTACGTCGCGATTCCCAGTGGGTCTTTCTGTCCTTAACGGGGCAAGTATCAACGCGCCTCGCAAGATATTCCCACTTTTCTTTATGAGTCTCTATAGCCCAAAACTCTTTAAACAGCAAAATGCGGTCCTCCTCTGACAGATAGGTCCTGCACTTATTGCGACATTTTTCATGGCAACCAGGTCTTATGCTACGAGATGCAATCAGTTTACCCTCTTGACTTTTGTCTTTATATACACTGACATAAGCCTCGCCAGCTTGCCTCGCGCGTTTCGCGACATTCTTCGCCCAATTACTGACATTACGCGTACGCTTGCGTGACGTTCGTGCAGTAGCGCGGTCATCTTCGGCCATTCCTTCTTGCTCATGTTGCTGATCATCTCGTTCGAGCTGTGGATCAGTTTGTTGGTCAGGCTGCAGGGCAGCGGTGGAAGGATCATCATTCTCTGGAGGTGTTGATTCAAAAATTGGAGGCTCCTCTCCAAAAGCAGATGTCGCGGAAGTTGACGCAACAGGCACGAGCGGAACAGGCATGAGGACGGCTCTTACGACTAATCCATCTAGAAAATTAATTACGTTATATTTTGAATATGCGGTGACGGTTTCAACTAGAAGAAGTATCTTTATTTATTAACATTTTTTTGCTCTAGTCTACACAAAAAATGAAATTTTGTCAAAAAACGTCGATATTTCCTTGAATACGGGAAACTAAATATTTTTTGATAATTTCAAAATTTTCGTATTTTTGAATTATTTTTCATTTCTAACAAAAATGCCGGGAAAATTTAAGATTGGAATGACAACAATTTACTTTGGGAAGCGACTTTCTAGAATATTTCTCGCTGCGATGACAAAACTTTTTGTGATTTTTCATAAAAACGGTCAATCGGACGTATTCAACAAAATATCGATCTTATCCAACAAATATTTTTTTCAGTGTAGACTAAACTTACTTTCTCCCTCCACGTACAATCTCAAAAATGTTTCCATCACATTCAGAAGCTTTTTTACGTAAGAAAAAATATTTTTCATCCCACCACCTCGGAAAGTGTAATTTTGCGCTTCGAAATCTGGCTGGAAAATTCTATTTTATTCGCTTGAGCGGCAAAGTAGATTTGAATTTAGAACATCACATATAATGAGTACTCAATATAATTGTAAATTCAAAACGTCATTAAACCTATTTAATGTAACCTCTATGGTGCCAAATTTATGATTAGAACTTTTTAAATTGTGAAAAAATTTAAATTTGGAACCTTCTTGGTTTCTTTGTTTTATTTGCGTGCTTCGCGCCATTCTAGTTTTTCACGTTTTATTGCTTAAATATTTTGTCATTATAAATTGTTTTCTTTTTCATTTTGTCATTTCCTCGCTGAGGTGGGATGAAAAGTTACGTATTGCACTCGAGTGGAAAGATTTTTTCGATCTTCAATTTTAGACGCATATGCACATCAAGTTATCATGCATACCTGACGAAAATTCCTCAACGATTTCATTGAATGGTGGATCGTATCGGATTTCTGTTGCAATGTTGAATTCGCGCTCTAAATCGGAAAAAAGACAATTTTTCAATAATCCTAATGTGAAGATCATGAAATTTCAGAACTGAAATTGAGAAATTAGAATTGTGAAATTTACCTGTGATGTCTTCAACATTATCTTCCTGTAGATAGTAATCGCCCACTGGATCACTCATTTTCAAAATGAGAAACGAACGAAACTAGACAATGTAACGTGCTTTGTTTTCGCTACAGCAAAGAAGACAAACTAAACACCTCTGAACGCGCTTCGTTCGGTAACCGACACGCTCGCGATCTCGCGACTCTTTGTTCGGTCGACGATTTTGTGGAATGCAAAAATAAAATTTCCAAATTTTCGCTCCAAGCATGAGCTTGGAGGGGAGAGTAGCGCTGATATTATGTATGTAGTTGGGTATAGTTGTAACCGCAATACAGCAGTTCTTGTGTCCCCCAAGCTCAAAATGTGTTGATAATATCTTTATGATAATTATTTTTCTATAATTAATGAATAATTAATTTTCTGTTTGAATCAATGAATTACTGGATCATTTTCATTAACGACATAATTATAAAATACTTGCAACTGTTTTTGTTACATAACTTACTGTAACTTGTCCAGATTCTCGACGACTGTTTTTGTTCATTGTTTTACTTGAATTATTTATAGCGAAAAAAATCATCGCAGTAATTTAAAAAAAATTCTGGGCATTATTTCGGCCCCAACAAACGTAGGGGCAATGCTTTTGAAAAATCATCAAATCTGGACTTGCGATAAACCATTTTAGTGCATCTGAGATACGACAAAGCATTTTGCAGTCGGTGAGTTACGATACTCCGTCCTAAGGCTGCGAGAGATACAATAGATCTCACGCGCGTACGGAGATGCGTTAGAATAAACAGGGCCTGCCGAGTTACGATACTTCGCGCCGGGCGCGAGAGTTACGCTAGTCCATATGGGACACTTTTAATTACGATTCTACTCGAAATTCTGAGCGAGATAAGATATAGCCGCTCGGGACCATCGATTGGTTAAAAAAAAATGCATAACTGTCGGAAATGCATTTTTTTTCTTTTTGTTTTTCATTTATTATGGCAAGAAACAGTAATTTACATAATATTGAGGTGCATGCATATATGTTAATATTAATAGACCAAACAGTGCCCAAAGCTTATTACAGTTATAGTAGCCAAGAGAGTGTAAACACAGTCTTTGCACATGTATTCATCTAATGCTAACCTATTTATTGATAATAAAAAACTTTACTAGAAAAAATCCACGCGGATCAGGCAGCGGACGGGACTCGAACCCGCACCCTTCGCAATCCGGGCGAATGCACTGACCATTATGCTACCACGGCCCTATTGGCTAAATAAATAAAAACATAACTATAATTTCTATTTCTTCTTTCAAATGTTTAATACTTGAAAAAGTATTCATTTGACATTGTGGGTTACCTACAATGCGAAGAGATGGCGCTGCCTTGCAGCTTAATACTAGGAAAATTTCGACGCGGCGAATAGGGCCGTGGTAGCATAATGGTCAGTGCATTCGCCCGGATTGCGAGGGTGCGGGTTCGAGTCCCGTCCGCTGCCTTGTCCGCGTGGATATTTATCTAGTAAACTTTTCTTTAAATTTAAACAGTTAAATGCTTAAAAATAAATAAACAACAAAAAAAAAAACAGAAATATTCATAAACATTTTTTTATTGGATTTTTCATTATTATATCGTTTAGTTTTCTCTTTAAACTATTGATAGATAGATTACAAAGATTCGAACCAGACAACTCTTTGTTAGAAACGTTGGTGGAACGTCATAAATAGGAATTACGTGTATAGTTTTTACGTTGGTAACGGCGTACGAACAAAAAAATTCAATTGGTCCGCGTGGAATTTTTTCTAGTTATATTTTCTTTAGATTTAAACATCAAGCAGTTACATGCTTTAAAATAATAAAATTTTTAAAAACATTCAATTTACGTGAGGAGCACACCGAGTGACTTTCTTGGTCTGAAATGGAAATTTTGCTGAGAACAATGGACGAATCAATTTGTGAGTTTAAGATTTTGAAAAGAAAGATAATGTCAAACATTGTACGCTTATATTTTATTAATAATAGAATGTTTCTATTTTACATTTTCTTGTTAGTTTTTGATATCTCATTAAACATTTCTAAATAACATTAGAAGATTTTACAAGGTAAATCATCATCATCATCAGCCTATTAATGTCCCCACTGCTGGGGCACAGGCCTTCCCTATGGATGGATTAGGGAGATTGGGCCATGACCCACCACGCAGGCCCAGTGCGGGTTGGTAGGTGCCAACGACTGCAGATACAGCCGGGACCAACGGCTTAACGTGCCTTCCGAAGCACGGAGGAGCTCGAGATAGTAAATTTTTGGTCACCCATCCAATGACCGACCACTGCGAAAGTTGCTCAACTTTAGCCGAACGCGCTTACCACTTGAAGCGGAGAGCTAGTGGAATGAAAAATGTAGGCTAGGATTAAGGACGCAATGGGTTTATTAACACGATTTTAAACACAAACAATATTTAAGCTTATGACAAGCAAAGACTATGACACACAATAACAATTTTGATAGCAAAAATCATAAAAATGTGAAAATACTTTAAAAACACTTCAAAAAACCATAAAAACTAAATCTATAAAAGAGGTCGGCAACATCCCCACCCCTTGTGCAAGAATGTGCACAATAATCTAGCCAAGATTTAGTTTTATTACTTTTCGGCAGGGGCGACGAAGAACGCCACCTGCTGTCGCAACGTCCACTACTCTCACAACCCCGTCCTTGCCAGGGTGTAATGCCGAGACACGTCCCCGCGGCCATGTTCCTCGCGGTAGGGTCTCATCGACGATCAGCACCAGGTCACCTAACTCAAACCCTGTCGTAGGATTTCCTGGTTCACGAGGTTGTAGGGTTGGTAGGACTTCACGTACCCAACGGTTCCAGAACATGTCTGCAAGTCTCAAAGCCTTTCGGTATTCTGAACTTCCACACAAGTCTCTGTCAGTTAAAGTGGCTGGTAGGATCTGTGGAGATGATGTGCCAATTAAAAAGTGGAATGGCGTCAGGGATTCTTCGTCATCAGGGTTGACGGATACGTGGGTTAAAGGTCGGGAGTTCACGATAGCTTCCGCCTCCAGTAAGAGGGTGAACAAAATTTCCTCCTTAGGGGCTCGATCTCTAAGTGTGGTCACCAAAGCGCTCTTGACTGTCCTTACCATGCGTTCCCAGCATCCGAGGGAAGCCGAAATGAACCAGTGGCCTGTTTAACTGCATTAGGATGGGTACTATATGGGGCGTCTACGAGTAAAATCAAAATAATCAACTTTATCAATCACGTTAACATTACAAATGAATCAACAGATTTTGCTTTAACTGAAAATGTGTCACTTGTGAACCTACCCTTAATACGAAAATTGACGTGACGAATTTTCGTGTTCCTACTGAGCCCACTTACACAGTTTACAGTGACTGTTTCTTCAGGCCCAGTAATCCCAATTTTGGCAGCAATACAGGAGTCAATCAATGAAGCCGTACTACCATCGTCGAGTAAGGCGTATGTGTCAATATCACCAGACGGGCCCGAAACAGTCACTGGAATAACCTTTAGTAGCGTACTACTGTGAATAGACTTTTTACTATCTGCACGCTGTGTTCCAGTTGCCGAGATTATTACTTTCGCTGCTTCACAGTTGGCGCTTGTAGAAGGCACCGATGCGCAAAAATCTGGTGTTGATGAAGTGACAACATTATCGATCTCTGTGGCACAAACATTATTTTGTAAAGGCTGTTGTCTACCATGCAACAGCGGGTGGTGACGGGATAAACAATTATCGATACCACACGGGTTCACTTTACAAGTCTTCCATTGATGCGAGCTTTTTCGAAGACACCTATAGCAAACTTTCGTCTCACGTAACCAACGCCACCTATCTTCAACAGAGAGAAGTTTGAACTCCGAACAAGATTTTATGCTATGGTCTTTGTTACAAAAACAACACTCTTGTTTTAAAGGCGGAGTCTTTGTTTTAGTAACTGAAGCATGTGCGGCAGAGTTGACATTGATCCGCTTAACCAAAGGTATATGGGTGCTCTGAGAATGCTGGATGGCTGATGATGCAGCGTTCTCAGGCGAAAGAGTGAACTTAATATGTTGGTCTAGTTCACGTTTTAAGAAATCAGACAGTATTTCTAATTTTGGACGCCGTGATGTATCTTGCATTGCAAAATCGGACCATCTAGGTTTTATTGTAGGGTTCAGTTTATTCAATACGGCGTAATAAAGTTCAGGTGAATAAAGATACTCCACTTTATCAAGTAAACGTATAGCAGCAACACTATTACGTGATGGATGATTGGATATAATGCCTAGTTCCCTAAGGTCATTTCCTAGGCGGGGAAGGTTTTTTAGCACAGATACCTCTTTGAAGACGATCTGCTCTGGACGCGCAAAGTTATCTTCCAATGCGCGCATGATTTCCTCTGGATCTTCAGTGGAGTAGAGAATAGACGCTATGGACTCGTAGGCGGCCCCGCGGAGAGCGTTTTGTATTCTCGTTATGTTCTCTAGAGAAGAAAAGGAATCGTTAGCCAAGTAATAGCATCGTTTGAATTGCAGCCATTGCAGCGGGTCTCCTGCGAATGATGGGAGCGTAGGAAGCTTAGCTTTTCCTTGGTTGGACGCCAATGCTTTTGCTGCAGCAGCTGTGTCAGCTACAGCCTGTAAAAAAGTCGAAGATTGTGATTTTCCATGATCACGATTTCTCAAAGTTTCCGCAATATTGAGCGGGGGGAATAGTCCCTCCACCTCGGGAGCTTTGATGATCAAATGAGGATTAGTTGCTAGTCTGTCTTTTACTGTAGTGTGGTTAGGAATGATAGGGGAAGCAGGGTCCCGTGTGGTCACGTGTGCCGGGGTTTGTGACACTAAGTGACCGGGGAGTGTGATGCCGTGACACTCTTCTGCCAATTGGCCTCTATCATTAACACTACTAAAAATATTATCAGTTACCCAATTTTGCGTCCTTTCTGCGCTTACTGGTAGGCTTGGACCGCTGCGACTACTGGCAATCTCTACATCGATTGCTGCTAACTCAGCCTGAAGCTCGCGCTCCTCGACTTGGCTTTGAATTTCGGCGATTTGACGCTTT